TGTATGTTATCACACACGCAATTATGATAAATTCCTGGCTCCACCGTCCCTTGATGTATGTTATCACACACGCAATTATGATAAATTCCTGGCTCCACCGTCCCTTGCATATTGCTAATCTATTTATGTACGTTGGGGTTTCCTAACAAAACAAAAACAAAACAATTAAAAAAGGATTTGGATCCTCTCCACTACAAAAAAATAGTGGAGAGACATGTATGTTATCACACACGCAATTATGATAAATTCCTGGCTCCACCGTCCCTTGCATATTGCTAATCTATTTATGTACGTTGGGGTTTCCTAACAAAACAAAAACAAAACAATTAAAAAAGGATTTGGATCCTCTCCACTACAAAAAAATAGTGGAGAGACCACTACTTTTAATCTCAAGCGTTGATTATTTAGTAGGCGGTTATGATACAATCTAAATCTAACACTTACCATACATCCGTGTATTGCACTCATTCCTAATTTGCACTAAAAGAAAAAAATCATAACCATCAACTAGATAATCAATGGCTGTGATTATGTAGTGGTCCATCCACTATTTTTTTTGTAGTAGAGGGGATCCGAATCCTTAAAAAAAGACGAGGACAACACCGTTGCTCCTTTGAGGTTTGTTGTCTAAAAAAGAAAGAATGAAATTTTTAGGGCTGAGTTGCAAAAAATAAAAACATTGTTGTTTGGAAAGGAAAAGGGTCTATAATTAGCTTGCATGGTAACTTGCTTTTCCGATGTTAGAATATTTAAAGAAAGTATTCGAGGCTAATATTTACTAAATAAACTGACCTCACAGCATCTTCAGCAGCGAACGTTACATCCTGACATCCCAAACTCCGAGCATACGCCACCATCTCCACCGCACGTGCCACCACCTCCTCCCTCCCCATCCTCAGCTTATGCTTCATGTGTATCTCGCTCGTCGCGATAAACGTCGACAACCTCGGCCTCAGCGCCCCCTTGACCGCCTCCCACGCTGCGTCGATGTCCCTCTTGTTGCTCCTCGCCACCGCGCCGATGACAGGCGCGTGGCCTTGCATGAGCGTGCCGACACCCTCGGCGATGATGTTGACGCTGAGGTCGAAGAAGGGGCGGGCGATGGAGAGCTTTTGGTCGGCGGTCATGGCGGCGCCAGGGGCTTGCTCGCCGTCGCGAAGAGTGGTGTCGAGGATTCGGACGTACGATGGGTCGGAGATGAAGTTAGGGGAGTAAGGAGGACGTGAAGACATTGTTTTGAACTGAAGACTTAAAACAATAGATGGTTAATATTGAATGGGATTTGATACTCAAAGGGAGTTGTGAGAATTTATAGTGTGATCTTCTAAAGCGCTGTATGACGGGTCCGGATTCTCTAAGACCTTGATTACATAAAATGTTTATAATTAATTAGTTAAGCTGACGCCTATCTAGTGGGTCTCACAATAAGAACATTTTTATATTATCTAGATAATTCATAGTGTTCATGTGGTCTACTCAATGAGAATATTTAATTGATGAGTTATAAGCATTCTCTGTAATTAAGAATGTAGAGGATTTCTATTCTTGTAAGACTTAGAGGTCAAATTGCTTTTTATGAACTTTATGATTAGAGTTATTTAGTTGGCGTTTTGAAACCAGTGAAAGTGTGGAAACCTTTTGACACTGTGAGAATCCGTTAGAAAACTATGAGAGATTTTTGCAATAGCTCATTTAACTTTACTTTTGATTTAAGAAATCCATTTTCTGAATCGTTAGGGAGCATTAACATTACAGGAAATTAAACCCTATTTTTTGAACTTTTGGAGTGGAAATGGAACGGAAACGTGAAAGAATGTCCAAAAAAATGAGGCGCATTGTCTTGGACTTCTCAGAGCAATTAATTTTTTTTTTGTCAATGAAAATTTTATTCATTCAACCATATGGAAGTGTATGTACATCAAAAAAACTCATGGATTGAGTTATCTACATAAGAATACAAGGAGTATATTTTTGTGCTTGAATTTCAGTCCAGTTTTCAGCTACAATATCTGACAGCAGCAATTATAAGGAGAGCATCCAGTTTTTGTTCTCTACAGGTAACCTGCTGTTAAGAACTACTGTTAGTAAATCCAATTTGAAGCATTTGATGAGTTGCTCAACAGTTTTGAATCTCTGCTTGAAAATTCTTCCATTGCGTTCCAACCATATATTGTAGATAGAGGAGGTAAGAGCCATCCTTTTAACATCGAGCTTGAAAACTTTCCTTCGCTGATTAGCTCCATACTAGTTCATTAATAGATTTCAATCACAACTTTTCCAATTGAATTGTAGCCAATTCATTACTCCGTTCCAGACATCACTCGAAAATTTGCATTCAAAAAACAGATGGTTATAAGTTTCAGTTTCTGAATCTGCACATAATACGCATTGGCTGAATTGAATGACCCCTCTTCTAAGCAACTTATCTTGTGTTAGTAGTCTATCTTGGATAGCTAACCACGAGATGAAAGATATTCCATGGAACTTTGTTTGTAGCAAGGGTTAAGGCATGATATAAGTTTGACAATATAATTTTTGAGCTTCTTCAACAGGATCTGATTAAGCTTATTAGATTTTCCTCTCTGCCACAATAATCCAAAGCTTTATTCCTGACTTTCAGCAGCTGCTTCCACAACAACGAATCACTATTTTCTCAGAGCAATTAATTGGATTTTCTTAATGTGGTGATTTTCTATTTTTTGGCTTCCTCCAAACAAAAGATTGAGAAGAACTTGCTTTCAACATGTTTGATTTCTTAATCATTTTGGGCCAAATAAACAGAAAAAAACAATTTCCAAGAAAAACTATGTAAAACCAAAAAAATGATATTTCCATGCGGGAATAAATTTTACTATTACTTTAGGAAATGAATCAGACAAGCATTGTTCAAGAGTTAAAAGTTTTATGAAAACATAAATAGAATTGTAGAAAGTAAAAATGTTTAAAACAAATACTTTTTTGTTTTCCAAATCTTGTTTGGACGATAAAAATAAAAATTTCAGAAAGTTAAATGAGAGCTGATCCACTATTTCTTTTGTTGTAATTGATCGTCTTGAGTATGATCGTTTGATTTCTATTTGCTTTTTTTTTTTGGACAGTGCGCGGTGAAAAGTGAATATTTGTAAATGAAATAGTAGAGAGAGAGAGAGGGAGGGAGAGGGAGAAAGAGAGAATTGAAAGTTAATAAATAATATCTATCGCTCTCGTGATCGGTCGGTTTCTAATGCGCCTTTCAAATATTCATTCTCTTAACTTTTTTTAGAGGAAAAAAATGAAATACCACTATGAATGAATCTGTGACATCATCAAAATTTCAATCATCTCTCAATTGCTAAAAGAATAGTGAAACAACGATATATACATGCACATAATTTCATTAAATTTCCAATTACTAAATATACTAGTCTTTTAGTCCGTACTAAGCACGGTCTTATCGCAAATCACCTATATTTTGTCATGTTTCAATCACTTGTATCCAAATAGAATTTAAAAGATTTATTGACTCACCCCCGCAAAGCATGACAATCCCACCCTCCACCCGATTGAGGTTAGAAAACATGTCCCCGTCTAGAAATCATGATATTAAACAAATTATATAATACTGTAATTAAAATTTAGATCATTTAAACTAATTTTTTCATATGAAATGAATAATATAAAAATAATTAAAATATATTTAAATGCAACTTGAATGTAATTAAGATATAAGACCGTTTAATATTTAAAAAATATTATTCGCAAATGACGCATCACAAAAAAAATTATTTTCCATCAATCAACCAATCATAAGATGTAATAAACAAAATATTAAGAAAAGATTCATTAATATTCAATCATTTTTTCTCAGTCTTAATCATTTTCTTCAAATTTGAAGGAGCTGGTTCTTTGTTCATCTTTGTAAAATGTAAACCATTTTTATTGAGCAAATTTAATATTAAAAAAATTATATATTAAAAAGAGTTAAAGTATAAATAATCCAACCTGATTGTATCCTTATTTTTTTCACTAGTTGTAGGTCAGGTTTTAAATGCAGAAGAGTCTAGCATAGTAATAGGTGATATATCTAAAATTTTCTTTTTACCTTTGCTATTAGTTGTTGATATCGGTGTGTATAAGTCTAGATTTAATTCATCAAATTGATTATCAATTATATCTTCTGATTCAACTCAAATGGTTTCTCGTCCTATGATAATTGTATATTCATCTTAGAATGACATAGACATGATTGAATGTTTAAAATAATAAACTAATATTAAATTTATTAACAATCTTCTTTTTATAATTTATATCAAAGGTATTTCCAAGCGTCTATAATTGTACATTCAATATATATATATTGAGAGTTGCAAGTAGTGCGCGGCGTTTGTGGATACGCTCCTCAAGAGTTAAACGGGTCCTTTTGATTCGGATCCATTCATTTGTTGCTGGTTTGGAGAAGGGGCCGTTTGCTTGCTATTGAGGCACTTGGCGCCTTCTGAGTTTCAGATCCGCCTCATAGCAGATCCCATCAACAGGCGCCAAAGCCTTGTCGAATTGGCGCACGAGGTGTTGACGCTGTCTTTGGTGAGCTCTCTTCGATAAAGTGGGTGCGCTTCCAGCGGTTATCTCCTTGATTGAGGAGGAGTCCAGGTCTGCAGATCCAGCCTCGTTGGAGGCCAGAGGGTCGTTGCAAGGCGAGGTTGCAGCAGTAACGAGGGCCTTGATCTTCCTGCGCTTGCGATGGGCGAAAGATCTGGAGGAGGACGACGACAAATATTCCTCAAATTTCTGTTGGTAGAACTCGTACTCGACCTCTTCGTCAACCGGGATTCGGATCCGAGGTTGCGACATGACAACCTCTGTAGAGAAGCTGTTGGCTGCCACTGTGGTCGCTAGCGTGTTTGGTTCGAAAGTTGCTTTTTTCATTGCTAAACTCATTACAACTTCAGTCTTTACAATAAGTTCAAAAAAGTAAAAGTTAATTTTATAAGATCTCCTTACATAATGAAAAATAAAAGATTGCACAAGATAGTAAAGCAGTTCATACAAGACTATAATATTTCATTAATAGGTCTTCTGGAAACTAAACTTCCTGAAAACAAGTTGCAAAGGTTAGCTATGAAAATTACCAAAGACTGGAAATGGACTTCTAATGTGCATGAAGCCAGGAATGGAAGAATTTGGATTCTATGGGATAATGATATTCTCACTGTTCAAGTAATAATCTCAACTGATCAATATATTACCTGCACCATTGATTCCAGAGATGGGAAATTCTCCAGCTTGTGTACTATTGTTTATGCTCAGAATCAAATGGCCAATAGGAAAACCATTTGGAGAGATCTTCTGGCTTTTAAAAACAGTGTCAATGGTCCCTAGATCATTGGAGGGGATTTCAATGCAATTACAAGCTATGATGAAAAGATTGGAGGTATGCCAGTTTCTGATACTAATATAGAGGATTTTCAAAACTTCATTAGCACAAGTCATCTGCTTCATCTAAAATCAATTGGATGATACTTCACATGGAGTAATAAACAGGTTGCTGAAACTAGAATCTGGTCTAGATTAGACAGATGCTTGGTTAATGAGGACTGGATTCATCAATATACAACTAGTCAAGTGGAGTTTCTGCTGTCTAGTTGTTCTGATCATTCTCCTGCCTTGTTAGCAATTTAAGATGATGTTATAGATGGTAAACGGCATTTAAATTTTTCAACATGTGGGTAAATCATCCTGAGTTCATCCCTACAGTCAAAAAAGTCTGGGAGCAAAACATTGAAGGTTACAAAATGTACAGTTTCCACACAAAGCTCAAGAAGTTAAAGCATGCTCTCAAAGAATTGAATAAGAAGCATTTTATGAATATAAGTGAACAAGTGCTTAGAGCAAAAGATGGATTAGCTTATGTTCAAAGGCTATTAAATGGTGATCCCTTCAACTCAGATTTGATTAAAAGAGAAAAGGAGTGTATAAAAAAATACGACAGATTGCTGGAATGTGAATCCTCCTTATATAAGCAAAAGGCTAATATCAGTTGGAGTCTAGAAGGAGATAAAGGCTCTAAATTCTTCCACTCTGTCATGAAGAAGAAAAGGCATCATAATAGAATTCTGACACTCTATACTGAAAGAGGAGATAGAATCACTGATAGTGAGAGTATTATTTCTGAAATTGTTGGATACTACAAAAAATTGCTGGGAATCTCAGTCCCTACAACTAATCCTGATCCGATGGTGATTGCTAATGGCCC